GCACAGCCTTCTGCTGTGTCAGCCACTCCTCTCAGCTCCGTATAATCAGCAAACTTGCTGAGGGTGCATTCTCTCCCTTCATCCAGGTCACTGATGAAGCTGTTAAACACGACCCCTGGTAAACACCACTAGTTGCAGGCTTTCAACTATATTTTGCAGTGTTGATGACAACCATCCAAGTTCTGCCAGTCAGCCAGTTCTCAGTCCACCTCACTGTCTGCTCATCCATCTCACACTTCCTAGGCTTACCCATGAGGATGTTATGGGAGACAGTGTGAAAAGCCATGCTGAAATCAAGGTACACAACATCCACTGCTGTCCCCCCATCTACCCAGCTGGTCATGACATAGAAAGCTACCAGCCTGGTCAAATGTGATTTCTTCTTGGTGAACTCATGTTGATTTCTCCTAATAACATTCTTCTCCCCCACTTGCTTGGAAATGACATCCAGAGCAAGTTGTTCCATCACCTTTCCAGGAACAGAGGTGAGGCTGACTGGCCTGTAGTTTCCCAGCTCCTCTTTCTTGCCCTTTTTGAAGACTAGAGTGACATTGGCTATCCTCCAGCCTTCAGGCACCTCTCCTATTCTCCATGAGCTTTCAAAGAAGATAGAGAGCCATTCAGCACTCACTTCTGTCAGCTTTCTCATGCCAGTGTTCGTAGCTGCATCCCATCGGGGCCCATGGATTTGTGTGCATAGAGTTTGCCTAGGCAATCTCTGACTAGATCCTCTTTGACAATGAGGAAATCTTCCTCTTCCCAGACTCTCTCTCTTACCTCCAGGGCCTGGGATTCTTGAAGAGCTGTCTTAGCAATAAAGAGTGAAGCAAAGAAGAGTTAGTGGAAGTATGGAAACATAGATAGAGTCATGTGTGGCACTGAAGGCTGCTGTTTGCTAGACATTATTGTTGTGCATTGGCATGGAGATAAATAGCATACTTCACTGTATTGTATCCATATTTCAACTTATTAACATCTGCTTTGTCATTCATCCCAAATCTGCCTCTCTGGATTATACCAATTTTCTGGTGTTCCTGAAATTACTTTTAAGGAAAGCTTGTTGTTCAGTTATCAACAACTTTGTTGAACTACAAATCCTCACTTGTGGTATTGTTAGTGTGTAAGAGACACTACTGCATTAACACCGGATAACAAAACTGAGATCAGAAGGATGAAAATAGCGCAGGCAGCAGAATAATAAAAATAAAATAAATCTTTCCATCAGAAGTTGTCCAAAATACATTACGCTATCTCTTTTTTCCTGCAATAGACATTCCTCAGACAAGTTAAAAAGAAAAAAAAAAAAAGTCTGGATACGACGAGTAGGAATTTGCTGTGAATGTTTTTGCAGATCCTTTCTATAGTCCTTGTTGAATTGAGAGTGATTTAATGTAACACAGATAACTGTTTTTCTCCATCTCCTCCCAAGCAAATACTGACATAAATTTCATGAATTCTGTCTTCCACATGGCCCCTCTGAGACTACAAATGTGCAATTTCCTTATATACAGATTATAAACAAGAGTGAAAGAGTATTTCAGCTTTCCCGAGTGTAAGATGGCAGAATTTTTGTGCGGGGCCTCTTTCAGGAACATTTGAGGAGTAATTGAATGTCTTGGATTGGCAGAGTCTGAAAATAAGGGTTAGGGTTACTTGCGGATGAAATATATTGTCCGGTCATTGTCTCTACTGTCTTAATAGATGTTGGTAATAGAAGGAGAAAATGCCATAGAGCTGCAGCCATGTGATGGGACACTAAGAGAAAAGAGCACTGGGGCTGGAGTGGCTGGTTCTGGAAGGTCTCTGAGAGCAGTGTTGCAGTTGTGTTGTGAAGCTTAGGAACAATTTGAAGTAAGCTGCCACAAAATCTCTTGTTGTGAGGTTGTTTTGTTGTTCTAAAGTTTTCTGTAAGGTCAGAAATACGATGCGCAAAGGCTAAGGAAGTGTCTCTGGTTATTGTACTCTTCCAGGCAGGTTGGACTTTGGCTCTGTTCTGTATGCAGCTGTGGGCTGATCTGTCACCAAAATCCTTTCTTCTGGTTACGTGAGAAATCCCTATACCTTACACAGAGATCACACGTGTCTGAATGTCAGAGGAATGGCTTGGGTTGGAAGGGGCCTCAAGGATCATGTAGTTCCAAACCCCTGCTGTGGGCAGGGTTGCCAGCCACTAAATCAGGCACTACATCAGGTTATTCACAGCCCCATCCAGTGCTGAAAGCCACTTTGGTTGCAGTGCAGGAAGTACCCAGGTTCCTGCCTGGCCTTGGCACCTCATTCCAACTGACCCTAGCAATGCTGCGTGGCCTCCTGGGTTTTGGGATTTGTGTCTCCAGCTTGTTCCCCTGCATGTCAGACAGTCAGAGTTGTGCTCCAGTCTTCACCAAGAATTAGGCTTTGAGTATGTGAATAGCCACATGCTGCTGAGTGCTCTGCGAATCAGGCCTTGAGCATCTCACAGTGAATATCCCAGATCAGTGGGACTGTCGGACTCAGCACCCTTGCTGTTCTGTAAAAGCAATGACAGTGCCCTGCTTTACCTTTAAGGCACGTTTTGGGGATTAGCAAGTTAATGCTTGTGAAGCATTTAGATTTACGGTAATTATCTGCCCCAGAGAAAATCTTGTCAGATAAATAATAATTGTCATCACAACAGGGTATGAACGGCATGCAGATAAAGCACAGGGCTATGTGCTGAGCTATGAAAAGAGGAAAAATACTGAATTTATTTTCTATTGTGGACCAACCACTGTGTGTTAAATGAGGCATGGGGAAGAGACAAGTGTGGTGCAGTTAAAAGTTATGTGCATGGCAGTAAGAAACGTGGCTGCACATCTGGCCTCCAGCACTGCAGGGTTTGCGGCCATGTTCAGGCTCCAGACTGAGAAAGGTGCTCACTGTGCTGAAAAAAAGGGTGTCTCCTGCACTGCTGCTTGAGCACCCTGAGTCACCAGTAACAAAGACCATCCTTGGAGCAGAACTGGGGGGTGGGAGAAACCTTCACAGTTACCTGCAGATAGACAGAGGGAGACACCAAGTGATGCTCACAGTGCTGAAGGAGCAATGCTGGGCTGTGCCATTACAAAGATTCTTCTTACCTTGTTCCATTAACCTTTCTTCAAAGTTTTCGATGTATTCCAGTCTTTGCTTTGCATTCCATTCCCTCCATTTGTATTGCTCACCTGTTTCTAACTCTTATGCCAGACCCTCTCTCTCAGTACAGTCCCTCACTGTATAACACTCCTTCCCCTAGGGAGTTCTTCTGGCTAGAGATGTTCCTTCCTCTTACTGAGCTGTTTTATTCTTTGCCAAACCTCTTACTATTCTTTCCTCCTTTCTCTACTGCTGTTAGTGCTGGTTATTTTCTCCAACCGCTTGCTGTTTTCCCCAAATGTTTGTTTACCTTGCTAGCAATTATCCCCGCATAATTACCTCCATTATTTACCCTTATGGGCTTCTAGTGCTGACCCACCTCTTTCCTCCCAGTCCCCATTAGGTTCCTTTTTTCACTCAATTTCCCCTTTCTTCTCCTTTTTCCCCAACCTTTCCCTATGCTTGCTGAATAGATCTCAACTGCAGACACTGAAGAGAAAAATCAGATTTTCCCCATGTGTCTTAAGACAGTAAGGGGTTGTGAACTATTTGGTGGGAGGATTCTATGTGCACCCCATCTGCACCAAGAAACCCATACAGCACAGTCACTCCACGTGGCTTTATCTGTGGGGATCTGGCAAGTCTCAGGTGCATGTGATCCCAGTGAGATTACTTTGAGAAAAACAGTACAGTGCCTGTGCTTGAAAATTAAATGCTGTGGATGCTCATCTGAGAGACCAAGTCAAGCAGGGTCCTGCAGATATTTTGGGGAGTGTGGTAGCAATACTTGTTTCAATAGCAGTCATGAGTGTATGGGAATGTCATGGAACTGATGGGTTTTACCCAACCAAGAGAATTAACACTGAAGAAATTACACTGGCCTTGCAGAACTCTTTTCCTTTTTAATTGAGACTAAATAATTACTAAGGCAGGCAAACTGTAAGAAGCAATTACATAAAGGGAATAGCCTGGAGTTATAATAGGAGTCAGTTGCACTGTACAGACACCAAATGTCTTTCTGGAATGAACCAGTAAGAGCGTTCACCATACACCTTAGCTGGTGGTATGTGCAGCTCTGTGTCCTGCGTGTTCAGACAAAAGCTAGAGGAATACTGCCAATAAATAATAAGAGGGTTAGGAAACAAAGCCACTAAGAAAAATTTGAAAGAACAGAATTTATTTAGTCAAGAAACATCAAGACTGAAGTAGTCTTAAGACTGATGCTTGTTATGAGCAGTGGTTCATCTGCCTTCTGGAAGGAACAGGCTTGGTCCACAGTGCTAAGTATATTAAATTTGATACAGTGAAAACCCTTCTTATAATGTATTTGGCATGAGTTTATCTTGTTGGGGTTGTGGATACTTTATACTGGGGAAAGAGGGAAGGGCTTTTCCCTCGAGGAGAAAGAAAGAAGTAGACTTTCCTTGTAGATTTTGCATGTCTGCAATCCTACTTGAGCGCGGATGAACTCCAGTTTTCCATGTGTTTATAACTTTATCAAATTTGGATGGATTTTCAGAGGGATTACTGAATTTAAAAGAAAAAATAGCCAGCACTAAAAGCAATGTATCCTGGTCAGATTTGAAGTACTTCTTCAAAACTATGGCGAGCTTTTTAATTGTTGATACAGACATTTACAGAAATATATTTTGCCTTGTCTTCTTCTTGGAAATGGTTAACCCTCTGTGACCAAACTTCTTTCCCCTCTCGCCCATAAATTGCCAATATTTAGCATACAAAGTTTAGATCAGATGATTAAAATTTGGCAAAGTTATAGGCACTAAAAACAAGGTCTAAGGGGAAGTGTCATGTAACATTAATAACAGGCAAATCTACCAGCCCCACCTATAACAATCTTACTTCTATCAAATCCAGGTTTCCTTGATGATTCTCAAATGTTTCCACAGGCTTTTAGAGAAGATCTGGAATGCCTTATTCAAGAACAGATGAAGAAAGGCAATAACCCAACTGGGCTGCTTGCGTTACAGCAGATTGCTGATTACATTACAGCAAGCTCTTTTGCAGGTTTTTCCTCATCTTCACTCAGTAAGTAAAATGTGCCTTTGACTGCCCCTTTTTCTCTTTGTTTTTATTATTACCAGTGATAATTTAATGTGGGCATAAACTAAGCCATGATATTATTTTTCTACTTTTGCATATAAGTTGTAAAAATGGGGAATTGCCAGCCAAACTGAATCATTACCCAGATATCTCCCAGAGTTTAAAATAACTTTTAGAATGTGCTGTAGTTACAAAAATGTGGTTGGGATGTTCCAGGCTTCCCAAGTCCTGCAGTGCTGAAGTTGGCCTAAGCACTGTGGGTGGATGTCTTGATATGGGAGCTTACAAGCCTGAGGCACAGTGGCAGCTGTTGTCATTCAGCATCTTTTGAGAACTGGTCTCAAAATGGCTCCTTAGAGTTCATACTACAGACTAAGTGGAAAAGAACAACAGAGAGCCTTACTCCATGTCTCTAGCCAGTCCTGCAGATGCAACTGTTCCCTGCAACATTACCTGGGGATATGGACAGGGTGATTAATCTCAAAGTGTGTGTTCTCTTTCTATTGAAAACCCAAACCTTTTATCTCTCCTGGTAGTAACTTTCCCTGTAAGCAAAGGCAGTGTTTCTCAGAGAGGTACTGTGCATTCACGAAGGGGAGAAATATCCTTTGCAAGATGTTCATGCAATCAAAGTCAAAACTAACAGAGGTTTCAGTAAAGACACTAGAAGTCCCAGCAGTGCAGATGCAGTCTAATAGTTGCTGGTGTTGCTCTGCTGACAATTTGAATATACTGCTTCTGGAAGATCATGATGTAGCTGGGAGGTATTTAATTGATTGGCTGCTATCTTTTCCTCTGTTTCAGGCCATGGAATGATTACCCCCATCAATGATCTACCTGGGATAGATACCTCCTCATTTGTTAAGGGAGAAAAACTTACTCGTTGCAAATTAGCCAGTTTATACAGACTGGCTGACTTGTTTGGGTGGGCACATCTGCCAAATGCCTACATCACTGTAAGTATTTCAGAGAATAAGAATGTTGATTTGGGATCTTACCTGTTTAGTCACATTAATTTCCCCCAGATAATATGAATTCAGAAATAAATCGATAATCCATTTGTTTTTTCCCCATTTCAGGTCAGAGTAAGCAAAGAACATGATCATATTCTAATCATTCCAAGAGGTCTGTCATTTTCTGAAGCTTCAGCTTCCAATTTGGTATGTAGTTCACCTGCATAGTAACCACCAAGGCTCAACCTGTTTTCTGAAATACTTTTGTGGCTACTAAAATGGACTTAGCTGTAATCATACTGCTTGATTGCAGTTGCTTTTAATGTTTACCCACCCTATGCAAAGCTGATTAATTATTTAGATAGCAGCATCCTTTGTTCTGATTATTTATTTTTGGATATAGCTTTGCTTTCTGTTGCTCTGTCTCCAACATCAATGCACGGCAGCAAAGTTTTGTTCTCCTGTCTCCTGGAGCTCATTAAATAGCCTCAGTATAGCAGCAACCTTTTGGAACCTGACAATCTGGTAATTCTTATGAAATCACTCTGTAGGAGTAGTGTCAGTAGAATCAGTTCTTATCTTTATAAATGGGGAAATGAAGTTGAATAATCTTCCCCGGTCCTTACAAAGGAACAGGGTAAAATTACAGGTTGGTATTTAGGATCCTGTAGCTGTAAAATCATGTGCCTTTTGATATAGAAGCTGCCAGATGTTCTTCATGTCAGTTCGTATCTGTGAAGAAGCTATCTCCAGTTGGAAGAAGTGGCAGGAGTATTAGTTGGAAGACTGATAGACCAATAGGCTTGCAGGAAATAGAAAACCAAAGTAAAAACATGAGAACACTGCCTAATGCGCTCCTGTTGTTTTATGTTGATCCTGGAATTATTATTTTAATTTTTCTACAAATTTGTATGTTCTCTGCACATTTAATATTCTTACTGAAAATTTATTGGCTGAATTTTTTTCATAGTCAAAATTTAGGAAGTGTTAATAAAGTTGTTTTTAAAATGCTGAGAATTAGATTGCTTCCCCTACAAAAGGCTATCAGTAGTGATCGGTAGTTGTATGTAATTTCCATGAAAATATCAAAGGTGTCTTTTTTTCTTTCTTGCATGGTTGGAAGAGGCTTACATAAAAGCGCTCAATGTGCTTACAGGTTGAACCAGATCTTTTCTCATAGTTGGTTTCCATTCCAATTATGATTCTGGTTTGCAAATTGCTGAGGCTTTCTTTTAAGCAAAAGGTCAGCTTGACCAAAGAGGAGTGCATGGTGTACCAGGATTTTGTCTTTACTTCTTCCATGGTAGGGCTTCCAGGTGCTACTGATGTCTGTAGAGTGGCTTAATGACACACAGGTGGCTCTTTTTTCATGCTCTAAGCCTGAAGACCGTGGGGAAAAATTGGTATGAAGTAAGAAGGGGAGGGAAGTTCTCAAATAATTGTGGTTGTTGCAGACTTCTTGAACGTTGTCCATTTGTTTGACTTTTCCAGATAAAGGTAAACATCCTGGGAGATGTAGTTGACCAGGGCAGTACAAGTCTAAGTATCGACAATGCAGGATTCAGTCCACATGTGGCCATCTATTCCACGCGCCCTGATGTCAGATGTATAATACACATACACACCCCTGCAACAGCAGCTGTAAGTCTTCTTCCTCCCAGCTTGAAGAGTTAAACAAAAAAAAAACAACAGGTTAATCTTATGAACATAGATCACCTTTCTGAAGCTGAATCATTGCTCGTGGCGGTTTTAGTTTTGTTTGTAACACAGCTCCACACTGTTGTTTTTAAAATAAATCTCTGCTGTGAAATCAGGGAACTAAGAGGGCAGGGCTACTGCAATGAAATGAATGGTAATTAACTGATGCTTAGATATGATTGTGCTCAGGCTGAGAAGACTAAAGATAGTTTACCCAGGCTTCATTAATAGTATCTCTGACCATATAATGTGCCGTATGCATCATCATTTATATTACACAACTCCATTTTAACTGGTTTAATTAGTAGTTGTGCTCAGTTTGGATTTACTCCACTACTGAAAAATCATAGTTAAAATATGATTATATATAAAATATAAGTAAATGTATAAAATATAAGTTAAAATGGTTCATACAACAACTATAAAAATGTAAGAAGACTTGAAATCATTGATTTGAGATAAGTAGATAAATACATATGTAAATATTCCTTGGCAACAGACAAATAAAGGAACGGCTAACTTCTTTTACACACGTTCTTTGAAATTATAACTATGGGAAAGAAGGAAAAAACATTTAGTCTGCTTGAGTTGAAAATTAAACATGGTTAAAATGTACAGAAACTCACTTGGAATCATTTGTCTTTTCCTAAAATCAATCTGTCCTAAGATTTTGTAGCAGCAGTTCTGTCACCCTCTTGTAACTTAGAGTAGTAAAAGCCTAAAGATACTATTTCTCAACTCTCTCACTATTCAGTGTCTCTTTTTCTGACAAAGTTACAGTTTGTTAAGAGTTGCGTGTTATGTTGTGGGTTTTAAGAGCTTAATTTTTTTCCCTAATTATCAATATATCATTTTCTTGAAATAGGTTTCATCTATGAAGTGTGGCATCCTTCCAATATCACAGGAGGCTCTGATTCTGGGAGATGTTGCTTATTACAACTACCAGGGTTCTCTTGATGATCAGGAAGAGAGAATTCAGCTTCAGAAAGTACTTGGACCCAGTTGCAAGGTATTCAGCCTCATTCAAGCTTCCCAAAGGCCTTTTTCATGTCCTGTGACAGTTTCTACCATTTAACATTAGTGTCTTCATTTACCAGGTATTAGTCTTGAGAAACCATGGTGTAGTAGCTCTAGGAGAGACACTGGAAGAAGCATTCCACTATATTTTCAATGTACAACTGGCCTGTGAAACACAGGTGAGCAAATGTGCAACTGTCCTCATCTTCCATAACTCTTAAGCCCATCCCCAGAACTTCATCACTTTGCTTTTATGTGTTTCCTGTCACATTCCCAAGTATGTGTTTGGAGGGGAGGAATGAATAGCACTCCCTTACCCTGACATTCACTTTGAGTTCAATTGCTCATTCATTTTGAAATGTGTATAAGAATGAAAAATGCTTAATACTGTGATGGAAAAAGACTTTCTTAGGGTTGTGTTTGAGTTCACTCCTTTTAGATGTGGTGATTGGCATACATTATCATTCTTTCAATAGGAATCACCTGCTATATATTGTAATGTATGTTCACACAGAAGAAAGTTAGCCTGAGAAATATTGCAGCAGGCATTTGTGTTTTCTCTTGTTTATTCAGAAAAGCAAAGAATCCAAAAGCATTTCTGCAAGTGAAATAACACTCATTGATGTCTTCAGGTTCATGCATTAGCTGGAGCAGGTGGGATAGACAATCTCCTACTGCTGGATCTGCAGAAGTTCAAGCCTTTCACGCATGGTGTGGCAGCAGGTGGAGGAGGAGGAGTTAATATGGCTTCACAGCAAAAATGGAAAGTAGGGGAGCAGGAGTTTGAAGCACTCATGCGGATGCTGGACAACCTGGTGAGAACACACTCCTGGCAACAGCCGGGCAGCCTTTGTAAGCTTCTGAGTGTAGGATCAGCTGCAGTATGGCAAACGATTCTTTCTGGTTTCTTTGTGAGTTTGAAAATGAAGGTAGAATGACTTCTCAACCCATTTGAAGCACATAGGACAGCACAAAAAAAAAAACCAAAAAACTGATTAGTTCTTCACTTACTTTTTCTAATTTTTTAAATTCTATTTCTTAAATTGTCATTATTTTCTTTTTTCTTCTCCATAGGGATACAGAACTGGCTATGCCTACAGACAACCCTTAGTCAGGGAAAAGCCCAGGCATAAGAGTGACGTTGAGATCCCAGCCACTGTGACTGCCTTTTCCTTTGAAGACGATGCAGTCCCGCTCTCCCCGCTGAAATTCCTGGCACAGAGACAACAGAGGGAAAAGACAAGATGGCTGAACTCCCCAAACACGTACTTGAAAGTAAATGTGCCTGAGGAGTCCTGGAATGGGGAAGCGAGTCCCAGGACCAAGATCACGGTGGGCCAATACTTTGGGACAGTTGTTCTGGTTTTATACGGCTTGGGAGAAAGCAGACCTGCACACGGCTCTTTTCAAGACCTCTTTAACAGGATTAGCAAATCAGTTAATGAAGCAGGAGGAAATAGGTTTGTGGGAGGTTTAGTGACATCAGTGCTAATGGCTCTCAATGGTTTGGGCATTGCCGTTCTTTGGAAGAGCAACAGTTTATGCTAAGAAATAAAGAATTATTCTGCCTTTGCACCGAGCTCCTCCAATTCCTAAGACAGAAAATAGTTTTTCTGCTGTATGCTTTTATGTCTTAAACTATCCACCAAATATAGGAGGATTTTAAATCACCTGTAGGTTGCTCTGATCTCTGCAAGGTCTGATTTGCCACTAACTATCCTTTCCTGTTTGTGAGCCTGCTAAAAACAGGCTCTGAAGAGTATACTCTTGTTACTACTCATGGTGATCGAGCCTTTTCCTCCTGCTTCCACTGTTTCCAGCCTAGAGAGCAGCATTTCTCTTGCAGGGCTGAGGAACACATTATTTGCTTCCTGCTCCCAGTTGCACAGCACAACTGTAAAGGCATCAGCTCCTCCTGGTGGCAGGCTAGCAAGCTTCTGCACTTGTGTTTGGGAGAAATATCCTCAACAAGATAAGAAACCTCGCTTCAGAGGGACGAGGCTCCAGAATGTGTGATTAGCAGAGGTGGAAGGTGAATGAGGAAATGAGAGAGGATGGATGAGCTCTGAAACCAGCAGATCAGTGTGCTAGTGGATATGAAGCATGATGCCTCCTGAACATAGCTTCATTGGTAGGCAGTTAGCATCATGTTTTACAGGAGTGTGTTTTGGTGTTTACTAAAAGTGATCTGGGTGGCACGTGCTCAAGGCAACTTAGATTCCCTTGGCAAGCATACAAACTTGTGAAGATTTGGGGGTATTCCATGGATGTCATGTGGAACTGAAAATAGAGTCAGGAAGGCTCTTTTTTTACTTCTCCTCTTTAGCCATAAAACAGCACTGAGAAATGTCCCTCCCCATCATGCTGTGCAATTCTTTTTTTCCTTTAAGTGGATGAAAGCTGACGACTCTTCCAAGACTAGTGGAGGAACACCAATCAAAATTGAAGATCCAAACCAGTTTGTTCCTTTAAACACAAACCCCAGTGAAGTGCTGGAAAAGAGAAATAAGGTAAAAGATGTGTAATGAGTAAAACTGTACCATTTCTATATATAGTTATATGTTAAATAATGTGTAGCAGTAACCTAACATTTTCAAGTGTTCTGTTTTTTACTAGGAAGTTTCTGATGTGATTCTGGCACTAAAAAGCATGCATTTAAACATGTGATATACATGAATTCTGCATATGTATATGCTACGTACCTATAAATTTTGAATGCAGTAGTTTGGTGAATGATGACCATTAACTCTGGAAATGATAGATTGGAAATGGTAGTCCCCATCATTTAATATATTTAGTGGACAATTAGTGCCAGCATGAACCAAATTGCTGTAAACCAAATGTAAATCGGATACAGCACAATTCAGTCTCATGTGAGCTCTGCTCTGTGCTAATTCTTCTAGCATGTATTAAACTAGAGTATCTCTGGCCCACTTCACTCTCTTTTGGCAATAGAAAGGAAAAGAAAAAAAAAGAAAAAAGGGAAGAAAATGAAAGATTGTTGGACCTCTCTGTAATCACAGATATCTCACTTCTTTTCCCTTCCAGCACATAAGGCGCTAACTGTTAGGCTGACCAAATGCTCCACCCTGGGCTTTACTGTACTAGCAGATATTTGGGACGCTTTCCATGTGATTACAGAATCTTTTATTTCTTGGAAAGCACCGTATCAGTATCCGTGGGGATTGAACTGGAGTCAGAAGGAGCAACTCCCTTCCTTAGGGCTGGCAAGGCATCTTGTGGTCATCTAGAGATTAATGCTACAAGTTCCAGACAATGATTTTAAGATTCTCTGAATTCACTGTCTCATTAGTTAGTTGACTCCCATTTTTCTGCTGTATAATGTTTTTATCTGATCTATTTTTCTGTTTATATTTATATTTGGTCTGTCACTCTATAGATTCGGGAGCAAAACCGATATGATCTGAAGACAGCAGGACCACAGTCTCAGCTGCTTGCTGGGATCGTTGTGGATAAAAAGCCAAGTCCGGTGAGTAGGGCATAATTCACTGATTTACGTGTACTTGGGTTATTTTGCCTTGCTTTCTTTCAAGCTTCATTTCTGGGCCATTTTCTTTTCTAAATACTTTGTTAGAACTGGTAATTTTAATGCCAAGTTTTGAATGTGTAATGTGTTTTATTCGTGTCGATGCGTGTTTTTTATCTCAGAGGTTCAAAATGTTAGTTTCAGATGGAGATATGCATGATAGGCATACCTGTCTTTAATATTGTAGTGGGAGCCTTCTCTAAGACCATTTAAGCTGAAGAATGATGGACTTTGCATTGCACAATGCCAAAAATAACTTCTCATTGTTCTGTGGAACTCACTGCTAAAGAAAATCATTTAAGGCCCAGAAATGAAGTGAATTTAAAAGGTGGGATGGGACCATGCAGAAGGCAGCTGTCATTGGAAACAGGCTTCTAATGTAGTGAGAGTGAGCAAGGGTGTCTGTTTTCTTACCAGTCTTGTCTTGAATAGAATATAGTTAATTCTGGTTAATATGGATATCTCTGATAAGGTATGTAAAAAACCATTTGAACTAGAGTTGGCATTCAATACTTTTAAGTTTCTCACCATCCATGAGTTACTGCGTAGAATTATTAGAATTGGAAGGGACCCTTAAAGGCCATCTGGTCCAACTCCCATTCAGTGAACAGGGACATCTATGGCTCCATCAGGTGCTCAGAGTTCCTCCATTCTGACCTTGGGCATCTCTAGGGATGTTGTGTCCACTGCCTCTCTAGGCAACCATCTATTTCTTCATTTTGGCTTCCAGTATTCTTTTGCAATGATACAGAGTTTGCGTGTTTATTTCAGTCAAAAAGAATATTTTCCAGATTAGTTGCCTCTCAATATGAGTATAATTTTAATTTTGTAATTATAAGTTTAGTCTCAGAAGACATCTTCCAGTTAGGTTCCTAAACTGTAGCGTGAGCACAGTAACTTTCTCACAGAAACATCCTAGAATACTTGGAGCATTTTTTAAAAAAAATATAGGAAGTGTTACATTAGAATCCCTATTGTTGAAAAATTTTCACTTCTGAAGAGAATCTAAGTCCCTGAACAGTAAGCTATTGAGGTACATGTTTCTTTTGAAGCTATTCCCCTTCATTTAAAACAAAAAACAAACAAAAAAGCCCCCCACTCAAATAGTGATTGTGCCATTGTAAATGAATTGTGATTTATAGTTACAGTGATTAATGTTCGTTACTGTGTAAATGTCCATGAAACATGTTAACTTTGGCCTTGCTGCTTTTTGGTTTCTTTTTTTCTTCTGTATTCCCTCTCTTTAGGTTTAGAGTCATCATACTATTTGCCATGTGTGCATGCTGCTTGCTTTCTTTTCAATTTTTAATTTTTTAATTTTCTTTCTCCTAGCCAATGCAATTTGAAGATGATGAGCATGCACCACCAGCACCACCCAACCCATTCAGCCATCTCACAGAAAAGGAACTGGAAGATTACAAGAAAACAATTGAGCGCAAGCAGTTAGGGCTGGAAGGTCAGTGGTTGGGGTTTCTATCATCAGTTCATCTGTATTTCATATCTACTATTAAAATGTAACAATCATTCCTTGAGGAAGTAGAATTGTTTTTTTTTTCTCTATTTAATTTAGTTAAATTAAAGCAATGAAAGACAAAAACATGCTGTAACATAACAACCTTTTTCATAGAACTGTACAATAAGTTAGGATGGAAGAGCCATCATTTAGCCTGCCCTCCCTGAAGTTAGTTTCAAAGTTGGATTGCATTGCTGGGGACGCTGTCCAGCTGAGCTGTGACTGCCTGTGACAATAATGATTGTAAACTAATCTGTAACCTTCTGCACTTGCAGAAGTTCTGTTATCTAAATGATACGTGATGAATATTTGGCTCTCTGAAAAATGATTTTTTGCCACTTAATTATGAAAAATGTGACAAGGTAGAAGAAAATCTTTGTTACCTCAAGGTTTGTTTTATGCCTGTCCAAGTGTCAGAATTCACAGGAAAAACCCACTGAGCTCTCCCTGAGAACAAAAATATGCTGTGCTGCTTCACATTTGGTGCAGCTCTGTCAATAGATTCTCTGCTTTCTGTCCTTCAAATTCCAGTGTTTTTTGAGCTCATGTTTGTAATTTGTTACCTCCAGAAGTTTTGCAAAACGTTTGATCTTTGCTTCTTTAATTTTTCCTTTATTCTCCCAATGTGCAAAACTAATCTGCTTTCACTTTTTACATCTTTTATCCAGGACTACTATTGTGCAGGAAATTACTAATTCATTGTTGTTTTTTTTTGACAGTATCACTTACTATGCATTTTTTTCCATTAGTATTGTGTAATAAACCCATTTTGCTCTATACCACATTGGGGTATAGTGTGGTAGCCTATTCCATCAGCAGCGTGTGTGACTTAAGGCTAGATAAAACCACGAGGCATGCTATGTGAAATGCAATGGAATGCAAACCTTCCCTCTTTTTTGCGCTTTCTACTAATGAACTAATATAAAAAGATTGTTAGCAGATGAAACGTGTAAATCTATCATTCTACGTAATTTAAACTGTGCACTGTAACTTCTTAATGTTGTCAGCATAAAGATGCTAGCAGAGCTGTAAATCTTGTACCACTGACATGCTTGCTTTGTTTTTACTTCTGCATGGCTACTAATCAAACTCTTGTCCTACAGATGCTGAACAGGAATTATTCTCAGATGACGGTTCATCTGTGTCACAAATTCAGTCCCAAACTCAGTCCCCGCAAAATGTCCCAGAAAAATTAGAAGGTATTCTGTATAGTTTCTCTAAAATGCTGATGGCTCTCATAACCTGAGTCATCTGCTTTTTTCCTGAGTTCTTTATGCTTCTATGTCATTGAATAAGTAAAAAAGAGCCCTGTTTTCCCAAAGTCTGGGGGAGGGCCTCTATCCAGTAAATTGCCTTCCCCAAGTTTTTCTGATACATAATTCTCACAAATGGAAAATAACATGGGACGTACTGAACTTTACTTAATAATGAGGAGGAGGAAATAGATATGTTTTGGTTGTGAGCCTCTAACACAGGAAAGATGTGAAGCTTTTGGAGAGGGTCCAGAGGAGGGCCACAAAGATGATCTAAGGGTTGGAGCATTTTTCCTACAAAGACAGGCTGAAGGAACTGGGTTTGTTGAGCCTGGAAAAGAGAAGGCTATGGGGAAACCTTGTTGCAGCCTTCCAGTATTTAGAGGGAGTTTATAAACATGAGGGAAATCGACTTTTTACGCAGGTAGGTAGTGATAGGACAAGGGGAAATGGTTTTAAACTGAAGGAGGGGAGATTTAGATTAGATGTTTTTTACTGAGAGTGGTGAGGAGCTAGAACAGGCTGCCCAGAGAGGTTGTGGGTGCCCCATCCCTGAAGGTGTTTAAGGACAGGATGGATGGGGCCCTGGGCAATCTGATCTAGAACCTGATCTAGCAGCTGGCAGTCCTGCCTGTGGCAGGAGAGTGGAACTTGATGATCCGTGGAGTCTCTTCCAACCCAAGCCATTCTATGATTAAGGTCAGATGTTTGGCCTAAGGCTTTTCCAGAAAGGTTTAAGAAGGCACTTGGGAAGGAGGGCAGTGTTCCAAAGATTTCTACATGGAATTATGACACTTTTCTAAACCTGTTTCTGGAGTAAAATGTAATTCCAAGTATGCTTGAGACTGTATATCTGTATATTGTTTGTGTAATATACTATACATGGCATATGCACCTGGTAGAGGTGAGTTTAGCTTCCTCAGTCCAATATCTTGTAGTAACATTTTAGGTCTGTTTACAACAGGTAGATAAAGGAGAAAAGCCAACATCTTAGCATTTTGGATTTCATTCTTTGGATTGCAATCCAGACTCTCATCTTTGTTTCAAACTTGGGGTTGGCTTTTATTTTGTTTGTTTGTTCGTTTGTTTGGATTTTTTTTTTACGTGATATCACACCTAAGTGACAGCAAAATTATCTGTTCCCTAGAAAATCACGAGGATCTCTATACCCAGAATGCCAACCTAATATCTGCAGAGCTGCCTGTGGTGGTGGTGAACGGCAAGGAAGATGCACACGATGTGGAAGAGGATCTCACCAAGAGGGTCAGTCAGTTAACCACTAGTACTGTGGAGAGCGTAGAGATTACCATCAAAAGCTCTGAAAAGATAGAAGAGGCCCTGTCCCCTGAAGGCTCACCTTCCAAATCCCCGTCGAAGAAGAAGAAGAAATTCCGCACCCCATCTTTCCTGAAGAAGAATAAAAAGAAAGAGAAAGTGGAAGTGTAAGTGCAGCTCTGTTGGGAGGAGGTGGTGCACGTTTTAAACGTTAAAGTTGACCATTAACAGAGTAGTGTTAGGGGTGTGCAGTAACTGGACTTTTAACCTAAACAAAGAGGAACTGGAAAAGGTTTTGCTTTAAACAAAACAGAAATCAAACAAACAAAAATAAAAAAAAAAATAAAAAAAGACTTTCATGTTAAGTGAAAATTAATTCATCTCTCACTTACCTGAGTCCGAAACCGCTATGAGGGTTTGAAACATTCATTAGTTTCAAGTTGAACTACACTGGCAGGTGCTCAAATACCGTCATAGCGAGATGAAATACCATCACAGTATGCAGCAACAAGTTCTGCCCGGGGTATTTTGCAGACCTTGACATTTTCAGTACAGTAAAGTCTTTATTAAAGTTATTGTTGGGCGATCATATAACTTTCTTTTAAAAAAAAACAAAAACAAACAAACAAACAAAAAAAAACTGCTGTCTGAATTGGTAACCAGGTCATACCTTTTTGTATTGTGATTTTTGACCATCTATTTTATGTTTCTGTACCCCTGTTTGGGTGGGTGCATATTAACAGCACACCTTTAAATCTTTTTTAAGATTAGATCATATAGAAATACTATACACTGGCACATAATATTAGGGGGAAAACTGTGTAAGAGAAAGTTTATTTGGAATTATTCAAAATGTCAAAGAGCTCCATTCATTGACAACTTCTTTGCCAAATATTTCATTTTAGTGAAATATAATTTTTGAAGACTTCTTTTTTATTCTGTCTGTCGGGGGGAGGGGGAGACCCTTATTTTTCAAGAAGGGGGATTTTATACACGTAACATTGATAATTTAGTTTAACTGCAAAACAAAAAGAAGATTTTATATGTTCAAATGTTTGTATACCATTCAGTATAAAAAATATTATAGGCATGTGAACCAGGCATTAAATAGTAGAGTGTATTTAAGAACGCTTGGTTTAGAGTATACTTAAATATAATTCAGGAATCCAGGGACTTAGAAATTAGAAGACAAAAACGTATAACATTGAACTGGATTCAAGTTTAAAATTTACTGTGTTGGGTTTTTTCCTCATGGTATTGCTAATGAATGAAGAAAAATAATCTCTTAACGTAACCAAATGAAGGAAACAAAGCTGTTAAAAGGGAAGTGAAACAGTGAGAAAATAGGAGGAGACAAAGAAAGTAAAAGTTTGGTGATTATTTTTTTTAAATATATGATATGGATTATGGGATATTTTTATTAAATCAGCAAAGTGACATTTCCATATTAGAAGTTTTAAATAATTTGTGTGGATTCATGCAGAGTGCAACACTTGTTGTTGTTTTTTTCCTCACTTTTGTTTGAATTGTAAAAGGGTCTCATGAATGTGTGTTGTCCTTTGGATGAACCCAGAACAAACCAGAGCCTCGTGCCATGGGTAGGGTGGTACTGCCACTTGCTCATTTTTACTGATATTGTCATTTTATTACTTTTACTGTATTGTAAATACAAACTAAACATAGAAATTAACATAGGTTTTTCTTCGCTGTGTCAAATCGTCTGTAAATCAGTCATGGCAATAGGAAGTGCATTTTAAAGATCCATGTGATTCCCAAATTACCAGTTGAAATATTATACAATATATAATTGTTAAATATGGCTGGAGAGTGGTTTGGCATGCACAAATGTTGATATAGCATGTTCAGGGGCTGGTTAGCTTTGACTGTGTAAGTGTGATAATGCAGTGTTGGAATGGATCCTGGAAACAATTTTCTAGCTATCACTAAATACTGGAATCAGTGTTTTTAATCATAGTAGAAACTTTCAGTTGCTTACTTTGTTTTTTATGTTCTACATTATTTGTGTTGTATTACAACATATGTAGAGACAGTAACCTGTGAACTACGCTTTTCATAACTTTTTTTAAAAATATATCTAAATGAATGCAATGTGCATAAATATTTTTTAAAATGCAACCGTGAACTATTTGCACCTTTTGCTAATGCCTCTATTTACTTGCTTTGGCATAAAGAATGAGCCAGCCAACTCTTGTGTCCTGTGGAAAATATATAAATGTTATCTGAAATTGCTCATAGATGTAATGCTAATTAATGTTAAATCACAAATAAACAGTATTTTAAATAGACATGTTTTGTAAAGCAGCCATTTGTTTATCCACTGCTGTCGCATCTCTTGCTTGGAGAAAGATGCTTTGGTTACGTACATTGCTGCTACAGAATTTATTCTGAAGATGGGTTTTCTTGGGTTTATTCTGAAAGCTATGGAGGAAAATTGGCTGGTCTTACTAGGGAGCTGTTGTTTTCTGTCTTAGATCCTGGAGATGAAGGAGAATGGGCTTGTGGTAAACAACGTGGCATTGTCAGGCAAGGGTCTGAACCCCAGGCGTGCTGGTGCTGCCACTTCTCCTCATGCTTTGTCTGGCTGCTTCCTAAGCATGAGCTTAAGCTTGACAGCCTCAGCAGCAGAACTCAGGTGGTTTCAGTGATGTGTCAGGGAAATACTTTGTGGAAATTACTGTTTCCTTCATGTTAGCAAGGGAAAGGAAATGTTTTGTAGGATATCTTTTCTTTCAGTGCTATTCAAAGGCTCTTGTGTCAAGCCCTGCTAGCGTATGGTGCGCCTCGGTGCCTCTGAGGCAGCAGAATTTGAAGTGTTAAGCATTTACATTTATACGAACAACGTGAAACATCTTTAAGGACCCCAACAAATTCTTATTTTCATTGTCTGTCCACAAATCAGCCTTTTGTTTACTTGCAAGAAAGCCAAACTCCAATCCTCTGCGTCTGGTGACAGTTGCATGAACTCAGTCTTCCCATGGGGGAGGATAATTCTGGTTCAGCATTTTAAATAAATCTGAAGAGTCAAGTAACTTTTTTTTTTTTTTTTTTTTTTTGCTACTGTTTGTCTCCAGGAGTGACTACAGTCTGCTTAGTGCTGCATTTACACGGAGATGGATGCAGTTCCAACACAGAGCAGCTTACACTGTGGGGCTTAGCATGTCTGAAATCTTCTCTGAGCTTTCATCATTCCCAAGAGTCTATAAACCACAACTTTCCTTTGCACTTAGAAACTATAAAGCATTATTTACTTCAGAGCTGTCTCTAGATGCTGCAAGGAGACAGGATAAGTTGTGGTTAAGGCCATTCTTACCAATATTTTCCTGCCATGCTAGTTGGGTTACTGCACATCATTGAGCACGCATAAGTTGCTGCTTTCTCTCAGTGGCACAAGTTGAGTTTGCCACTGTTCTGGCCATCGCAGGCTTCTAAAACACTGTGTACTGCTCAGTGGAGAACAGGTCATCCAGGAAATATAAGAACTCCTTAGCACCAGTGGTTCTCAGCATATGTAACCTTCTGACTCACAGAGCAGCCAAATTTGCACAGCAGAAGTGAAAAGCACTTCACTAATATAAAAGTCGCAGCATCAATTGCCAAAATTTCTAATCACAGAATCACAGAATTGTAGGGGTTGGAAGGGACCTCCAGAGATCATCGAGTCCAACCCCCCTGCCAAATCTCTGTTGCAAAGCCAGCAGCAGTTAGGAGAACTAAGAACTAACTGCAAGAATATAAGGCAGAAACTTGGATTTTCCTGCAGCCTTGTTCTGTGGCAGTGTTTGAGCGCACTACCTTTAAATATTGCTGGGTTCTCCAAGTCCATTTGCAGTTAATCACTCCTCCTTTTGTCTTTCTGCATTTGTAGGAGCGATGGGTATTGAAGGGTTGAGTCCCGAAGTCAAACACAACCTTCGAAAACCGAACGTTCAAATGGCCGTTAGGTGGCATCAGATGGTCGCTTTTGCTGCACCCGTTGCCTGCAGTTGGAAAGCTGTTAACAAAAGAGCTTTCAAAGAAAGTATTTTGGTGGGGATTTGGTGGGCATTATTCCAGTTCCAGCGCAGCGAGATGAAAGCTGACATCTGTCTGCTGGACTGGTTGTTTCTGATTGATTCATTTCAAAATCCAGAAATGGAAGGAGATGTAACTTGGAGGCAGGGCTTCTCCTCTTAGCTCAATGTTTTTGCAGCTAAAAATGAGCACGTATTTGCACGTGCAAGCTTGCTGCACAGAAGAATATCCTGCTGCTCAATGTTTTCTCTCTAGCAGCCTCATCCATGGGCTGGAGGCTCTGAGTGTTCCAGGACTTCTGCTGGAGTGGAAGCAGTAAGGCACCATGGAAACACACAGGGCCACATGGCTGCGAGCGTGCAGCTTTGGGTGCCTTGGTGCTGGGCAGAGCTTTGCAGATGCCCTTCATCTGGGGGTTTAGCTACGGACATGTGCACAGAGAACAAATTGCAGGCTGTCAGAGGCTGAGGGCAAGGTGTTGACTGCATTCTTATGCTTCTGTCCAAGTGTCTTCCTTACATCTCTGTGCGAAACAGGGTCCTGGGCACTGTACTGTCCCTGGTACACTTCTGTGCTGATTTGTTACAGTTGTGCTTCTGTGTTGGCCAGCCTTGGGAAGGGAAAGGCTGTTAATGTTGTTGCTGTTGTGCAGGGAAAACCAGACAAGGGTAGGGTAGGTAGATAGACAGTGGTCAAAAAGGCAGATGCCCTGTGCTGTCTCCAGGAGAGAGGAAAATATGTTTGACTTTTAAAATAGCATGTTGTCAGATGTTTTGTACTTGAGGTTTGCCTGTAAATGAAGTCACGTAAATCAGAAATGGTGCAAGGGGTTTTTTCTACATGTGTTTAGCAGAACTTCCTTTCCAGTCTGTCTGGCCTGGTTTCTCCAGCTTCTCCTTCCTGTTCCTGATCAGTGTTTGCACAGGGTCAAACTCAGGGAGAGAAAACCAATGGCTCAAGCTCATGAGGCAGATGAAGATTTTTTTTTTTCCTCCCTGGTTCAGTGTGATATTTGTGCATCCATGTTGTACAGACATGACCCTGTGATGTGCATGACTGCGTGGACCCTCTTGGACCCCCTCACCAGGCACATCATTGAGACATCTTCTCCATTACCTAAAATCAGGTGCTTGAGTTAACATGCTTCACCCTTGCATCCTGGGCACCCCCTGCACTGATTCCTCAAGGTCAAAGCTCACAGGGTTTACACCCACAGGATCCAAGATCAGAAGGTCACTGGGTATTCAAAGGCCAAGGGTCAAAAGATCATTGTGTCAAGGGTTGGCAGGTCAGAGGTCAAAAGGTTTTAAAGGTCAAAGGTAATGGGAGTCAAAGGCCAAAAGTTCACAGAGTCAAAGAGTGGTACCAACACAGCCAGACAGTGCTCATGGTGGCATCTGCCCCGAGTGTGCTGACAAGGTTCAGGCCTTTGTTATGGTTTGTTTACTGAGTATGCAGAAAATAATAATAATAATAATTGGAGAAATCTTTGTTGCAAGGAAGAGCCAATTGGACATCTGTGAAGATGCTGTGCTGCTCATATTCTATGTGCAGAACCACAACGACCACACGGGCACAGAGCTGGGAGTGTGTTGTGGAGGAGGTGATGTGGGAGCCCATGTGGTCACATCCCTGTGTGTACAAGAGGTGGTTGTATGCAACGGTGAGACCGTGACGTTATCTTAACATTCAGTTGTGACCTTGAGCACCTTTAATGTCCTGATTCTTGGCTGTGGGGATTTACCTTCTGAAGTGTGGCTGGAGGAGAGCCAAGCACAGCCAGCACTGGGAGCAGGTGAACCACCTCTTGGAAAGGGGAAATCCGTCAGAGCCACTGGCCAGCAGCCCACTCCTCATCCCTGCAAGCTGTGATGGCCACATGCCTTCCCTCAAATCTGGGAAATAGAACTTAAACAGTGCATTTCCTGCTCTTGGTGCCAGGCTGGACACGGTTATCTGCTCGCAATGGTCTGGGCATTTGCAGGTCTGTAAAAGTGATGCTGACTGATAGCTTGGTTTGTGTCAATATTTAAGGAACACTAAAATTCACCCGGTTATCTATCTAACTGCCTTTCTGTCTGTATCAATATTGAGCGTTATCCATTTCTGCCTCTTTTTATAACACACGGCTGCATTACGCACAGCCATAAATGCAGGTTAAGCCAGGCTGAGGCAGGGCACAGCCTGCTCCTTGGCTCTGAGCTCCATCACCCCGTTAGGCCCGCACAGCTGTGCAGATCCTGAAGGCCTAGACGTGGCTTCACACCCCACCCATGTCTGGAGCCATTGGCTGGGAAGGAGAGCAGAAGCAGATAGCGACGTTTCCCTGCTCTCCGGCCTTTTCGTGCAAAGCACGTTAATCTGTATTGTTTGCCCAGCAGTGGCAAATTGCACCCTGTGCAATGTGTTGTGAAGGAGAAGCAATTAAATACTGACCGAACGAGTAGTGCAGCCAGCACGACTGGGGTGAAACAGCTGTAATCTGCATGGCAGCTGGGAAGGAATTTAAGAGCCTTTCTACGTCAGGCTCGGCCCTGCCCGTCTTCCCAGGTGCAGCCAAAAGTGAACTACACCAAGGTCTGGAAAAGCACTAATCCCATAGCTAATACTGGGCATCCCAATAAGTGCTTCATTCTCCATTCCCTGGGGCTGGGAGCTCATTATCTATGTTTATCTGAGTTGCTACTGCCCTGGAGTTAGAATAGGGACAGGGACAGAGTGACCCCAGGACAGGTGGACAGAGGCTGTGGCCGAACCCCAGCACCTGGCATCCTGCAGGAAACCACAGCCAAAAGCCCAGAGAGGCTGGCAAAGGGGGTAAGAGTGCAATGTGAAAGTAAAAAGGTCAGAGTCAGGGTGGCAAAAGGAAGGCTTATCAAGTGAAATGTTGTTTCTCGTAGCTATGCTCCTTAGCACAGACCGCAGAGGCTTCCCCTCTCCTGGTGTGGGCTATCCAGCAGCAAGGTGGACCCTTTAGGAATTGGTCACTCCAGAACCCTCAGAGCTCTGTGTCGCTATCCATGAGCACAGCAACCACGGCAAAATAAAATGAGAGATGTGAGAGCTCTCCAACAGGTTTTTTTTTATATCTCTGTATTGCCATTGAGCAGTGAGGAATGTCTGCCCTTGACAGATGGGCAGTACAATTATCACATGGAAAACAGGTTCATCCTTCCAAAGGGCAGCAGCATGCTGCAGGTGGGATTTTATGAAAGGATTACAATGGTTTCAGCCATAAAAGAGAGAACAGGTGCACCCAGGGGCCTTTGCTGAC